TTTCTGTGAGTGCAATAAAGTGTGCACCCGAGAGTACGACCCTTACTGTGCCTCTGATGGCGTTACTTACTCCAACAAGTGTGTCCTAGAGGTTTCCGAGTGTGAAAGTGGCAAAGACTTGGACATTTTGCATCCCGGGGAATGTAAAGGTTGGTAATGGCATGAATTATAATTCATTTGTTGGGTAGTTGTAACAAATCGACAGTGGTTTAGTTTGGTTGATACTCTTGCTGATAATAATATTTGTCATCACAGTGGTCAAAATATTGTGGACTCACGAGGCGCAGTTTAGTGAGTCTGCAACAAATTGAGTCAGATTGTGACATTACTGCCAATTGTGGTAAAAACCACTACTGAACAGCCCTCTTCTAATATCGTAGCTTCATGATAGTATACTACTGTGATGGAAGATTAGCCCTCGTGAAACGTAAAAAAAAAAAAACCAACAACAACAACAACCTGTCACCCTCAAGATCTCGAAGCTAACTCTTGCAACTGGTTACAATACATATCTTGGCTAGTTCGTTAGGAGAATTAGGTGTTAATATTAAATGGTTGTGGAGATGGGATTTCAAGGCTGAGAGTTGCTAGACAAACGAGAGTTTTATCTGCTCTTTTTGATACGTCAGTGTCATTGATGGACTCTCTTTCTTGTGCAGCATGTGATCTTACCGCTGAGCCAGGGCCATGTGAGGCCTACATGCCGAGTTACTTCTTCAATACCACATCAAAAGCGTGCGAAGAATTTATATATGGAGGCTGTAAAGGGAATGATAACCGCTTTGCCACCATTGATGACTGTGAGAAAAAATGCAAAGGTTGGCATTTCAGTTTTTATATTCTTAAAAACCTTGCGAGTACAGTTTTATGCCATTTCACTGAACTAACGGCATGGAGCAGTGGTCTCGCCCATTTACTGCACTAGTCATCCTTTTACTGTCAGCAGTGCTTATATCCGCGAATGCGTCGAATTCGTCTTTATTTTAGACTTAAAAACGTTTTAGTGCTTTACCGTTGTCCACAGAGCGTTTCTCTCAACCAGTCCAATTTGCCACGTAGTTGTTGGAATTTTCTTTCAGTGGGATTGAGTTGTTTGACTGATTGACTGACTGTCTGACTGACGCATTGATAAATCGTTCTGTAGATTGAAAGAAAAGATTCCTGATTGATATCTTGACTGATTGATTGATTTACTTGTCTGTTTTATTGTTCATTAACAGTTGAAAAACCAAATTCTGACGATCCGTGCCAGCTGATGAATTGCGACTTCCATGGAGTTTGTCGAGTGGATGACAATGGTGATGCAGTGTGTGAATGTAACACGGCCTGCCCTTTCATTTATGATCCTGTTTGTGGATCAGACGGGAAGAACTACTCCAATGAATGTGTGTTAAAGTCACAGGCCTGTCTTACTCGCACCATGATCACAGTTGTTGGTGGCCCTGCAAAATGCTGTAAGTTAACAGACTCCTACAACAAAGATAAATGTATTGACCGACTGTTAGAGTTGATCGACGGTCCAATTGACTGTTTATCCGAATGACCACCTGCTTTCCTGCCTCTCTGGCTGACTGGTTTATTTTTGGTATAACTGACTGGTTTACTTTGTATAACTGACTGGTTTATTTTCTATATAACTGCCTCCTGGCTCTTACCGAACCCACGACCGACAAGCACACAGAGACGAATAAAGCTCTGCCACTTTCTATGTAGCGTTCATAAGCTTCCTTGTTAGTTTTATTTCACAATAAATTTAATTCTCCCTAACCATTGTTCTTTTTCCCATAGCATCCAGAAGGAGGAAATGCCAGACTTGCCCTGCGCGTTCAAGCCTCTTTGCCCACTTTTGTGAAAGCGACTTTGGTAAGTCAACACAGATGATCTTTCACAAAGGCTGGTCCGATACTGTTTTTAATATTTTCAATATTGCAAAGTGAGGGTGTGTTTATCATAAAAATTACATTCTCTCTTTTCGTTACCCCAGTTTGGGGCCAAGGGGCATTTTAAGCTCTTGGACTGATCCAAAAATTTGTTTGAAAAGGTTGATGTCTAAGTTGGCGGCATCTTTGGTGAAGAGAATTTGTAATTTTCCTTTGAATTTGAGCTGTCTATTTCCTTTTCAAGCGGAAATCAAGACTAACTTCTGATGTTGCTTGTAATGAATTTACATGTGATCTATGAAATGTAACCTAACACTTTCTTTCACAGTGATCAAGGGCACGTTTGAGAAGATAGAAAATGGACAAGACTCTGATGGGTCTTCCTTGATGGTGCGAGTGACTGGGGTGTTCAAGGGCTCTGACTCGTCACAGAATAAACTTGTCAAGATCGCCTTCGCTGAGGACTTAAACAGGTAATTCTGGGAAGAAACTCCGCGCAGGAAACCTCATCGGAAAGTTAGATTGCTACAAAAGATCTTGAAGAGTTATACGAATTGAAAGAGCGCTCGGGGGTGTTTATTTCACACTTAAGCTAAGACAAGTGGGGAATATGTTCTGATTGATAAACTTTACACTCATTGATTTTTCTATTTCCCTTTGCACACTTATTATGATATTGTTCCTTTGGTCAAGTTATTTGAATAGAAATTTCGGTAGAGAGGAGCGTCAAGTGTCATTCCCAGATAAAGGCGGCAAATGAAATACCGGAAGCACGCAACGATCGTGTAGTGGCATTGCGTCAGCCATTATGGAAAATAGACTAACTGAAGAGCCTGTTTTGTTGTTTTTTTTTATATTTTGTTTCGTTTTATTGTTTTGCTTTGTTTTGGTTTTTCTTCTAATTTATGTATTCTCTCCCATCAGTTGCTTCTGCAAAGAGCTTGGATTGGGTAAAACAGTTGTCATAGCAGGGACCTTGACGGAAGATGGTAATTATCTACTGGACGAATCAAGCTATGTGCGTCATGCAAGCGAACACTTGTTAAAGAAAGTTCAGGAGCGTACAAAGCAGAACAGATGCAGAAAGACGAAGAAACAAGAATAGTCATAGATGTGATAAGTCTCCATCGTAGCCGGTTTTAGGAATGTTACATTACGCTTCCCGCGTTACGTGACATCCTATAAGACAGCCACGATGGAGAACGGGCCGTGATAGAAACCTAGAGAACCCAAAAAACAAAAATCAGAATGAAACATGGTCAGGACTTAGATTAGATATATGTTAATCCCGGATAAATTTCAACGATCTATGTAGTGATACTTTAGAAAGATATTTTATTGCAAGTAGAGCATTTAATTTTTTTTAGCGTTTTATTTGATCATTTGTAGGAAAGTAATGTCTTTTTTTCTTAAAATCAATTTTACGTCAAATACTGATGATTTGTAGGAAATATTTTTTATTTTTGTAGCTGTAGTTTACCTGCGTTTCATCTGGACTGACATCTTGTCTTAATCAAACATATCATTGCGGTAGGACCCTGCTATTCACTGCAAATAATTCTGCTTCAAATGGTACAATTTCTAAATGTTGAACTGTGATGACATTAAATCGATAAATTTATAACATTTTGTGTGTCTGTTGGCGTGTGTGTGCCAGATTGTAAACAAGAGGGTTGTTTAGTATTATCAACCGAGTTGATAACGTAAATTGGTCAACGTAAGGAGTTTCAAAGCTGACGTTTCGAGTGCGAATCGCCCTGAAGAGGGGCTAACGCTCGAATAGTCAGTTTTGAAACTCTTAACGGTGGCCAGTTTACGTTATCAACTCAGTTGGATAATTCTAAATTGCCCTGTTATACTCTCCCACCGACGCAGCACCACAGTTTCTTTAGAAACTTACCCCCTGTAAACAAGAGGGATTGGTTGCAGTGACAAGTAACAACTGTTTCCCAGGCGTCTTATTGAGGTGAGTTAACATTTCTAGCTCGCCGTTGTTTAGGCGATCGGCCATGTTTGAGTGGACAATGGGGCCTCTCCTCTCACTTCCCACTCTTCTTCCTTCTTCCGTCGTTCATCTCTTAGGTTGAAAATCTTTCCTCTCTCCCCAGCCTTCTGCTGATATAAAAATCAAAGATGCCAGCTATGACCCTCGCCAAGAAACCACTCGCTCGCCAAATTATGCCTGCTCTGCAGTGAGCTTACGTAAATCTCTCCTTAGTCTCTTGGCAGTATTTCCTTCTCCATCGTATCTATAAGCGAAGGAAAAGAGAAAATCGGGCAACCACTCACTACTGCGCAGATTTTATTGATTGATTTATTTTTTACTATCAATTTCACACAAAACCTCTTGCAACTCAGGCTGTCAGAGAACTTCCTGAAAGAACCGTCAGCCCTCTCCATCTGTTAGGACGCCGTACAAGTATTTTCCTCTGAATTATTTCGATCAATACAATAAATCTTAACGACAGGACAGAATCGTGTTATGATTTTTATTTCAGTTCAACCGCAAGCCTTTAATTTAACGTTTCTCTCTTTACTCAATATCTATGGCGGAATATAGATAACGTGTAGCATGGCCAATCAGATTGCACCAATTGATTTAATGCGCCAGTAGATTTTTAAGTGGGGTTTATATTCGACAGTGCCTCATCCTCTCTTGTCGACAGGTTATGTTGAACTTGCTGAATTTAACAACTGGCAAAAATTCGAAACGAAGTTCTCTTTGTTGAAAGGTTAACATAAAAACAGCGTCATGAATTATAGTTCCGAAAACAAAACCCTGTTAAACGTTTATTTACGTTGTTTTCATAATTGCATTTGTATTCTTACAGCTGACATGTTTTGGTCACGGAGAGCGAGCAGAATTGTCAATTAAATTAAGAAGTAGAAAATTTTCAACACTTTTGTTAGACTTAAAAAATGAACTCTGAAATTGTACTTTGAGGAATTAGCGCAATTAACAAGTTTATCGGTAGACAAGGGCAAATTTGCTGTTTCTCAATAATGGATCAAATGAACAATGCATACTACCCTATGAAAAAACCACAAGTGAATACAGGCAGGTTTCATGTTCTGTGATTGGCTAACACTACAGCTGTTTTTTCACCACCTGAGCAAACTGTGATCGGAGACGCCAAGGCACCATTGCCTTAAAAGCGCCTCGCGCATAAAAATGACCGCCGCTAAGGTCTTCTTCCTCCTTGCGGTGTACTTACAAGGAGGTTTAAGTACAGAGAGAAACAAATCGTTCAGCAAATGTAAGGAAGGAGAAGGTTCATTTTACGACTTCTCCATCAAAGATATTTATGGTTTGAAAGTTCCTGACACGGACTACAAAAATCACGTCGCTTTGGTTATGAACGTCGCAACCTTCTGAGGTTTAACGATGCAGTACAAGCAATTGAATGAATTACTACAAACTTATAGATCGGAAGAGAACGGTAATTGTGGATTCAGGGTTCTTGCTTTCCCCTGTAATCAATTTGGTCTTCAAGAGCCGGGGGAGAACGCATACGAAATTTTAAATGGCCTGAAATACGTTCGTCCAGGCCATGGTTTCGAGTTAGATCGTAATCTAAAAATGATGCAGAAAATTGAAGTGAATGGGAAAAAAGAAAGCAAAATATTCACGTTTCTCAAGGTAAGTTAGAGCCTAGCAAGTTTATGATTATTTTTAGAAGGATTCGACGAACTATATCGAGCAGTTATTAATTATTAATTTACTTGAAATGAGAGGAATGGCTGGGATGATCTGATCAGAGTTCAACTGAAACCTTGTAAAAGTTCTTCACAAAGATTAGTGCAGTACGGGAAAGGAAAATTCCATTATCTCTTTCCTTTCGTTCTTAAAAAATGTAATCAAACTGTGTTCAGTAGCTGCCCCATCTACAAAGTAGATGTACCTGTTATTTTCCATCAGTCTCTGAAGGGGTTTTTCAAAGCAGGAGAATCTCAAATTTGCGTGCGTTTTTAATGTCGGCTCACATTACCTCCTTCAAAGTGAATATAAAATAATTTTAATTTTTTTTTGTTAAGCTATTCGAACACTGCTTGAAAATAATTTCATATAGTGCTTGGCATTTAGCGGCGATCCTTAGTTTATCTTAACTGAATGCACGTTTTTAAAATATTACAATAGTCTGCGAAACACAAGAAAAAACATTGTGTGAGAGAGCTATTTCGGTTGAAATTTTCTAGTCTGATCTTTTTTCTACAAATTTCAATAATCTGAGACTGTATTTGTGACTGAACTGTTTAAAAGGGCCGTACAAACCATCATACTTAATTACGATCACATCTGGTAAGACGAAATTTAAGCGATTCATGAGACAAAACAAGACGAGCTGTCTTGAAAACTGAATTCAATTTGAAATAGCTTTGATCTTAGAAAACGATTTGAAGGCAGTAGGCATAGTTAAGAACAACTCTTTTCGCTTTGCTGTGTTTTTTAGTATGTTTGTTGTCTTCGCTTCGAAATATGTGGACAATATACTTTAATTTGGTCATCTTCAGTTAAAAAACATGCTCAAATTTCCCATGCCACCAAGATACTAATGGGAACAAGTTTAAAAAAAAAACACATTTTCCAACAAACAATATCAGTTCTCGCTGAACGCCCACTTTATCAAGTAGTCACTGCGAGAGAATTGAAGTTGCAATGATTTTGGCATTGATAGCAACGGAGAGATGTCCCGTGAACTACTTGTTCTTTGGCTGAGAAAATGAAAATTGAATCAGCAACAACCAGAGGATAGGCTTCTGTTAAGCTTGGTTTGTTCATTATTTAGTTGGCAAGTCATATCACGTTTGTTGAAAAAGAAAAATCAGAATTCTTTCATATTTTGAGAAATCCACGAGGATGGGAATTTAAAAAAGCGTCAAGATCCCAGGAATAAAAGACCAATTTCCTCAATCAAATCAAACAGATAATAAATACCAAGGAGACCCAGCGGAGTCCGATTCCGTCGGCAATCATACGTGTCATTAAAAAAAAAGCTGCTAGACAGTAAAGCAGGTGTCCAATTTATTTAAATATTTAAAGTAGAAATCCATATCCAAGAAGATGGAGTGAAGACCTTGAAACATTTACCGTATTCTTCAATCAAATGGTACCTCAGAGAAATAAGAAGAAAAAAAATAGGAATATGATTAAGTGACTATATAAATTACGAAGCTTGAGAACTAAATTGATAGTTCTGTCCAAATTTTTGTTTTACAGAGCCGATGTCCTGTACCGGATAACTTTATTGACGATGCTGATAAAATAAGCTGGTCACCAGTTAGAAACGATGATATAACATGGAACTTTGAGAAGATTCTTATTGACCACAAGGGGCAGCCATATCGTAGATACACACCCACAGTTGAACCGAAAGAAATTACTGAGGACATCGAAAAACTTATCAAACAATGTGAGGACGAAACTATTACAAAATAAATTGTAAGGCTAGGATGTGCAATGATGAGCATTGAAATGATACTATACCTTAACAGAGAAAATTATAAGGAAACCTCTACTTGTTCTTTATACGTCTCGAAGGAATGACGAGCGGACTAGAAACTGATTTTTTTCGGGTGGTCTTGCTTCGAAACGAAGATATCGGCCAAGTTGAGTGGTCTTCAATTCATTCAGCCGCTCACAGGTTGAGATCTCACTTAATCGAGACTGTAGTCTGAATGAAAGAGGTCAAATAAAAAAGCTTTTAACAAAAAAGTAACGATGAATAAATAAATAAGAATGATAATAATAATAATATTGATAAAAGCCAATACTGTTTAATTGGACGCGTGAGTTTTGAATTTTTAGTCACTAGCTCACTGCAGACTTCGCACGGACTTTACATTACCAGGAGCCCTCACATTACTCTCCTCTGCAGCCGTTCTCTGAGACTCCCTCTCTTCCCGTCTCTTTTCGTATAACTTCACAAGGAGCAGTTGCCAAGGAGTTTGGCAAGGCCCACAACCGCTGAGGTCAAAATTTAAAATAGGTGGGTTTTTTCAGAGAGGCTGAAACAAAATCCAATTGCAGGGTTCAAAACGCTGTTGTCTGTTGTTCGAGGGCGTATTTCATGCTTAAGGCAATTTTATTTCATCGTAGCTTAAATTTGGGTGCTACAGTCCTTCTATCCCTTCCCTCACCCGGACGCGCCTTGCTCATAATAATTTCGTAACCTTTGTGATTAATTTAAGGAGTCTCATGTGATAAGAAATTTGACTTGTACGGGAAATGTATTACTACATAATACTACAGGAAACATATTACTGTTTCCTCCATTGTAAAAAAAAATAATGCTTTAAGCTACGACACTTTGAGATTCCATAAAATGTCAAAGGATGTAAAAATTCAACTATAGACGCCGCCATACTTTGATCTTGCTTAGCAGCCTGGTCGGCTCACCTGTGACGTATGAAGCGTCTCTTTCTTTTCTGTCTTTTGGCGATTTGTCTGGACAATTATGCGATTTCTGGAACTGCAGCTGTTTGAGAACCGATTTTCAGAAGTCGTGCAAATTTAAGCCATGTTATTGAATTGTTTTTAAAATGGCAGCGACTCCAGTCGGCTTTTAAGTGCATTTTAAGGATTACTCCTTGGAATCTTGGTGTAAAAAGTTAACTTTATTTATACTTTCGTTAGTGGATATGAAGATCGTGTGGTTTTTAAAGTCAACGCCCCTGGACGAGTGGCATCGCTATAGTAAAGTTCTCACTCCCTCAGACCAGGAAAGTGTAGAAATTATGTTGCTATTCTGCTCTAAGAAAGAAGGCAAACAAGACACTCAGAATTATTTAATCTGGACGCCAAAACCAAGGGAATAGCACGGGGAGGAACATTTCAAGTTACGATAGGTTTTTTTCTTTTCTGTTCGTTTTGTTAATTTTAACCTCCTAATCATTGTAAAATCTCAATCATCCTGCACAGAATCTTATGGTCCTTTCCCTTCCGCCTCCATTAGCTACAATGCTATTTTAAATAGCGATAAACTTCAACATAATTATCGATAACACGTCAAGGTTACGCTATTGCGTGACGTGTGCGGCCAATTTTATTTGAAAGTGAAGATTGTGTGACTAAAAGTATAAATTGCAATAGCTACCAAGCCTTCTCGCTTTCTATCGTTTCACTCAGCCAGAGTTTTTCCTCTAGATATGAACACTGCTGTACAGCTTTGGGACGGACAACTGTCTCTCATAACTACACCTATCCCTCATGTTGCAACGCCAAATGAGGTCCTCGTAAAGGTTGCTTTCTCGGGAATTTGTGGCACTGATCTTCATATTCTCGCTGGGGAGTTTCCATCTTCGAAATGTGTCATCTTGGGACATGAATTCGCTGGAGTTGTGAGCGAAATTGGGAGTGCTGTAAAGGGAATTTCTGTCGGAGACCGGTAGTATTTTCAATTTTTGTTGAGTATCTTATGCCAAATATTTAAATTGTGTCTTTGATCATTTCAACTTTATCGATGATGTTTATTTTATTTTTTCAAGGTAAATTTATTTATGATTAATTACGAGAAGATCAAGAAACTCGACATTCAGTTGCAAGTTTGATCGTAGATCGCGATAGATATATTTGAAAAAAACTGCTGTTGTTTGAAAATTGAATTATTGAGGCGACTAGATCAATTCCTTGCCATGAATAATTTACCTAGTGTGCTTGGCCCCAAGGGGTTTTCTCGATTTCGTTTCAGGGTCGTTTAAAACATTTCTACTCTAATGCTTTAGTGTGCCAAATTAGTGAAACATCTGCTTGCTAATTAATTCAAGTTTTTTTTTTCCGAATGTTTTATCATTTCGTCTATTTTATTTAATTTTTGACTAGCATGTACACATTACAATTCCTTTTCTCAAATTTTTGCTCAATGAATTCTTCACTTGACTGAAAAATATTGTTTCCAGATAATAATATTCAACTCATGTTTGTTCCTGTTAAATTAATTTAATACATTCTACACAGGGTATTCAGTATGGTTTTCATCTAGACACATGTGGCCATGCATTCAACCCTTAAGCTCCCAAGATCTGATTTTTAATTCTCCCCTCTAGCTGCAGCAAATTTTATTGTAAATTTTAGTTATGAGAATTTGGTGTTGGATCAAGATAACTACTCCTACCTAATAAGTTTGAGTATTCTCATTACCTGTTTGCTGGATAATATATCAATAATATATATATATATATATATATATATATATATATATATATATATATATACATAAGTTAAAGAATTAAAGAGGGTGCATCGATTCTCTGTGACTCTGAGTTTCGCACCTAAGCACTCGTCAGACAGAACTTTATTCAATGAAGAACATACCTCCCTATATACAAATTAGATAAGTAACTAATTAATTCACTAGTGTGATGATCTTATCTATGTGTGAAATAAAGATTCTATAGAGCTATTATTGGTGGCTTGTGAAATTTGCTTAGTAAAACTTGTTCTAGTGGTGGCATTTAGAAATGAGTTCTGTTCTTTTGTTTAATAAAGACGGCTTTTTAGCTCTAACTAAATAAAGTTTCTCTGTGAGGCACAAGTGGCACAGAACTCATTTCTAAATGCCGCCACAAGAATAAGTTTACTTAGCAAATTTCACAAGCTGCCAACAATAGCTCTATAGAATCTTTATTTCACACATAGATTAGATTATCACACTAGTGAATTAATTAGCTACTTATCTAATTTGTATATAAGGAGGTATGTTCTTCATTGAATAAAGTTCTGTCTGACGGGTACCTAAGCGCAGAACTCAGAGTCACAGATAATCGATGCATCCTCTTTAATTCTTTGACTTATGTATACTTAGCTCTGCTACCACAGCATTGAGCACTTTATGTCAAGGTAGACTCTATACCCCCACATTCATTTATATATATATGATATATATATAGGGAGACGTTACATGTTTATCACTTCAGGGGGTTAAAAGGTGAACTTGCATGATTGAGTCATATGTTTCTTACAATTGTAGACTGTGAATAGCTTATCCTTATGATTGTCACAAGGTTGGGAACACAATCCCAGGATTCCTAGGGCAACATTCACAATATGGTGGTTCAGATCTAAAAATAAAGTGTTCTGTTTTTATATTTAATTCATTGACCCATGAAAATGACTAATATCTCCCTAGAATATCACCCCAGAATCATACTTTAGGTCGAGAGAATAGAGGAAATGATCACTAGAAGCTCTTGATTGTTAAAAGAAATTCTCCTTGTCAGCACAGTAGAGAATGTATAGAGAATAAGCATACTGATGTTAAGGTGTAAATGATTAAGATAGGCGTGCAAAGTGTGCAAATTAGTTCTGGGAGCAATAAACAATATTTTTAATGACAAAGCTAACTTTATTTCAGAGTGGTCATTAATCCAAACACCAATTGTGGTAGATGTTCATTTTGCCAGAAAGCTCAACCCCATTTCTGTAAAAGTGGTGGTATCCGTTCAACCGTTGGTATTTGGCGTAATGGAGGGTGGTCACAGTACTGCCGTGTTCCAGTGGAAACTGTTTTTACCATTCCACCACAGATTACTCTTTGTCAAGCTGCCTTGGTTGAGCCCTTTTCTTGTATTGCTCATGGTTTTGATCTTCTGATGCCATTAGCAACAACATCTGACATTCTTATCTGTGGTTCAGGAATCATTGGACTCTTGTGGGCCTCTTTGCTTCACTTTCATGGCTACAGAAAAGTTACTATCAGTGAAGTTTCAGAACGGCGAAGAGGCCTTGCTAGTGGACTGAACATGGGATACCAAGTTGTACATCCTGAAGTTTTGGTTCACAATGCAAAGGAAACAAATTTGTCAAGTGATGGCGAATGGGGTTTTGATGCTGTAATTGACTGCAGCGGAGTTCCCACAGCCATTGAAGAAGCTATTAAATGGTTGCGCTGTGGGGGAAAGATTCTTGTCTTTGGATGTTGCCCAAAAGGCTCTTCAATAAAAATTGATCCTCACACAGTTTACACCAAGGAATTACAAATTATTGGGTCACACATCAATCCCTATACTTTCCCCAAAGCAATCCAGCTTGTAAAAGATATGGCAGAAAAATATTTGAATTATGACAAGTTGGGAATCACTGTTTTTGATTTGCCAAGTTACCAGTCAGCTTTAGATGCTCTGTCAAAAGCAGAAATTTCAAAAGCTGTTTATGAAATGTGAATAGCATTTAATAAATAATAGATATTTTGATATTTTCTTTCAAAATGTTAAGTTTTAGTTGTATTTAAGAAATTAAAAAGAATTGTTTTATTGGTGCAAAAACTTTTGCAGGATGTCTTATTTTATGAAAAATAAAAAAAGTGTGGTAAATCATCCTTTTTAGTACTTTATCAATTACAAATTTGGTTTGGGAAGCCTCTTTGAAAGGGTGTTTGTGATAGACACCAGAGAATTCTCCAGGATCCTCTTGGTTCAGTATTGTTTGACTTAAGTTTGATTGCTTGGGCCTTTTTCAGTCAAGAATGGAAGAGCATTCCCTAACCAATTGCTACTACAATGTTTGATGAAAACCTTGCTTTTACTTGTAACCTTTGCAGTTGTAATTCTATCTTTTCCTAACAAAGGTGTGACATGTGGCTATGGAATGGTGTAGGGTGAAAGAGGTGTGGATATTGTTAGCTCTTGATTCATCTCTACATTTTCTACCCTAAAAAATGAAAAGAAAGAAAAGAAAAAAAAGAAAAAAAAAAAAGAATGAATGACCGTATGAAGATCTCTTTATGTTCTGCATTCTTCCTTTTACCAGATCTCACAAATTACCCATCTTCCCCACCACCTGGGTTTCTTTTGATCCGTGGAAAAAGCACTTAATACAATAGAAATATAGATTTTCAATTCTCTTTTGAAGAAGACAATCAGCCCCTGTTACATTTACACATATAGAAACACCTCTTTCAGACCAGTTTTCTGGATTAAATTATCGACATAATCACCCCTCCCCACCCTACTAAATAAATTATTGATTGAGCTCGCCCCAGTGTCCTCAATTGAACCGAATCGTTTTAGGAGGGAAGTTCGTAGCATGATATTTGCCTAGGGTTTGTTCAGTGCCGATTTTCTTTCGTTCCTTCACCAGAAAAATCATGAATAACGCAGTACAGTTATGGGATGGACATTTGTCTGTGATTACCAGGCCTGTACCTCACGTTCAAAACCCGCTGCAAGTAGTGATAAAAATAACTTATTCGGCGGTATGCGGGACTGATCTTAAGATTCTCGAAGGAAAGTTTTCATGTGAGAAGTCAGTTATTTTAGGTCACGAATTTGTCGGGATTGTAAAGGAAGCAGGGAGCGAGGTGAAGCACGTATCTGTTGGCGATCGGTAAGCGTTTCCTCGTATTTATTGGTAGTTGCATGCACTTGTACTTGTACTGATAGCTTTGTAAAGTTGTTATTCTTGCATTGTATTAAGCTCTAAATTACGCATTAATATTCGGTGAAGCGACGCTTTAATTATCTCAAGCTTGTTGTGGATTGTCGAGGTTATCTTCACGATGGAAAAGATAAAAAGAACTGTTTTACCCTTTTTCCTGATCACAAAATACCCTGCCAACTCCACGAGAAACTAATACATAAACTTTGATTTCCTTTGTGATATTCCTTTTGATTACCGCCGAATAAGTTATCCTTTAAATCGGACATCTCTGATCAATTAAGTCTAGAAATACAAGCTTACATTTCTCATTATCACAAGTTTTCCACTGTGCTTTTTCGGTATTATTGCACTGATGGCTATTTCATTTTCCAAGAGGTTTTTTTACAATTCCGTTACCATTCCCTTGCAGTTTATTACTTATTTGTTCAGGAATACTTGCGCTTACTTCCATCTGTCGTTTATTAGCAGTATGAATACAATGCTGGAAGGTTTCATTAAAAAAAAAATTAAATCATTCCATTATGTGATAATGAACTGTTTTAAAAATGTCTACCGTGAGGAAGTGCCACAAAGAAATACCAAATTTAAGGTATTTTTCGTGTTAGATCTCACATGTAGTGTCACATGTTGCGTTACTGACATGACTTCTGATTTAAAGAAACAGCAAAAGTTCAGACATTGAGTCAACCACCCACTACCCATTTTCTTTCCCTTTTCCTTGGCAACCAACATTTTTCTTCAGGCGACCCTTTTAATTGATTTTAAGTTGCCAAATAACAACTTTTATTAATAATCAAAACTTTAGAACCTTGACAGGGTTTTGCTTAACCAGAGCATAGGTACTACAGGTAACCAAAAATATATGTCATCCGGGAACTTAAAGAGGAATTTGGAGAAAAGCTTTTAAGAGCAGATTCCTGAAGCAAAAGCCTTGATGCACCTTTTGATTCTTTTACCAGAGCCATAGAGCCTTTAAGTTAAGACTTTATTCTTGGGGAGAACAATGATTAGCAGCTTGTTAAATCTGTCTTAACCTTTTCACTTCCCAGATCTCTCTAGTGATTCCCCATACTTTATTATGTTAATTTGGAGAATTTGTTATTGGATCGACTAAATCCCCAAATTAATATTTTTCTTTATTCTCATCACCTATCTTCTTAATGTTGTTGTAAGGAGAAATTCTGTCTTGGTCACTCATGGGAATTAAAGGGTTAATATGGATTAAGTAAGCTTTTTAGAATCATCCAGTACAATGGCTGCATCTTTAATCATTATAAAATCCCAACTGTTTTTTTTTTTTTTTTTTTTTCCTCAGTGTTGTTGTCAACCCAAACACTAGCTGTGGAATGTGTGACAATTGTACCAAAGGGCAACCACATTTCTGCAAATTTGAAGGAGTAAAAGCTACCATTGGTATCAGGCGAAATGGGGGTTGGGCACAGTACTGTCGCCTGCCAGCCAAGAATGCCATTCCCTTACCTCATCAGTTATCATTTGAACTTGGTTTGTTACTAGAACCAATGTCTTGTGTTGTACATGGCTGGAATCGTTTACAACCAATCAATCCAGATGCTGAAATTTTAGTTTGTGGAGCTGGAAGTATGGGATTATTGTTCATGAGTATGCTGCATTTTAGGGGATTTAGAGAAGTCGTTGTTACGGAGCTCTTGAAGGGACGTCAAAAGATTGCACAGAGACTGGACTTTGGTTTTCAAATAGTTCATCCTGAGATTCTAATTTCTGAAGCTAGAAATGCAAAGCAGGATGGGGATGAAGATTGGGGGTTCGATATTGTTATTGACTGCACTGGGGATCCAAAGACTTTGGAACTAGGAGTTCAGTGGTTGCGTCAAGGCGGAAAGTTTCTTCTCTTTGGCATTTCGCCTGCTGGATCGGAAGCAAAGCTTGATCCTCATGAGGTGTATGCTAAGGAACTGAAAATTATAGCTTCCAGAATAAATCCTTTTACATTCAATTCTTCTATGCAAATATTACAGGACATGGGAGAACGATATTTGAGTTTTGAAAAACTAGGAATGCGCACTTTTCAACTCCAGGAATTTACAGCAGCCCTTGAAGTCCAACGTAGTGGGGAAATTTCAAAAGCAGTTTTTGAAAATTGAATAATTTTTTGTAATTTGGATTGGTATAAGTCATGGGAGTCTTATAGAGCCGTAGAATCCTATGACATAAGTTTACCAGGTCTGAATAGTTATTTGGTGTGAGTTTGGATCATAAAAAGTTATGGAAACAATCCAAAAATAATATCTTTTGACAACACCAAATATAGGATTTAGAGGGTGTAGGACATTGGGGAAAAGAAGAGGAATAGCTGACAATAACCCATGCTAAATGATACACCATGTGATAGACATTTAGGAGGCAGTCTGCTATAGCTGCAGAACTGCAAGAGCTGTTATTCAATAAATTGGAGACATTTACATTTAAAGAACTGATACTAGTAGTAAGTCAGCTCACAATTTTGACTAGATGACTCACCTTTTTTTATTTACCTCTGATCCAGTGAAATTGTGAAGCATGTGTTAAAGAATCCGCCAATTAATTTACTCTCACAATTAAGTAGAGCAGTGTTCATAACATGGCATTTATAACATGGCACTTCTACCCTCTAATTGGTTTAAGCACTTACTGCTTATGAGCAAAAATGCTCTTGTCGGATAGCCAATTGAAGGTTTTAATAAACATTATATGTGTTTTTCTTACTGTCTGCCAAGTCATACATGCAGGTTTGAATGTTATTATAAGTAATATCTTTATTTGACAAAACTCATCAGAAATGTTCATGTGCAATATCTTGGGTGACAAGAAGATTTCGATTCCACCACTGTCCCGTCCAGTTTATTTTCTTTCAGTGTAGTTATGGTGCATTGTTTGTTGTCATGTATGAGGAGGCATTGCAAGGAGTACTCATTGATTTTTGATTTACTTAAAGATTCTTTGGTGAAACAGCACAAAAAGTAAATGTTGCATCTATTGCAATAGTCACTTTTATAACACTCCTTCAAGTGTACAATGAAAATCAACCTTGCAGTATCATGCAAATTATTGCAGATGCTAAAGAAATACTGAAAATAAACTACTGAGACATAAACCAAGTACACAATCATATAATGGATGTTTGTATTTATTTTTTATTTTTGAAATTTCATGAAAAGCTGCTTGTTATTCAGGAAAACTGAAACACATCCTTGGATCAAATATAGGAAATGATTATTAACAATACTTTACATTGTAACATATGCATTTGCACTGTTTAATACTTGGCATGTACAAAATATAATTACTACAGTTGCCAATGTTTGTACGTTTATCAAAATTATACTCCAATAACAAATATTTGTTGGGTGTTTTACATATATATACATGGCTTTTTTCCACCTTTGTAATTTATTTTTATTGATAAACCAAAATCTGGTATTTCCACTTCAATTTTCAATATATTCCAGACTGATTAATACTGCATATGCAACACACTGTGATATTTTTTCTTTTTTTCCACTGATTTTGCCTTTCTTGATAACATTTTTCAGAAGAGATGACCATTTCTGGTTCACCCAAGAAGGCCTGCATCACATTTGCAGATTAGCCTCCGTTCTAAAACTTTAAGAGAATGGATTCATAATATACTACCGACTAAATGTGAAAAAATTGAACATGATGATTATAATGTGGCATTAAATATTGTCCATGAGAATCTACAGATAACTTTCAACTCTCAAACATTTGACTCAACACCCCCTTTGCAAATTCAAGATGGTAGCAGTCCTAGCCTTCCATCACAGAAGGATATTCCAAAACAGTTATAAGTAACTGATTGGAGAATCAAATTTATTTTTTAGATTTCTGATAGGCATCTCCCAAGTCTCTTGGCTGCGATGAAATACCAAGTCAAATCAGACAAATTTTTCAAGGAGTCTGGTGAATCTTTCACTAAATAAATAATTGTATGACAATCACTTAACATAGCCACAGTCTAAATAGGTTAGGCAATAGAATCTACTGATGAAACAACCATTAGAACTAAAATCTATCGTATTTTTGCCCATGTTATGTTATTTTTTTCAGGGAGGACAGAGAAATGTCAAACGTCACCAATTTTTAATTTTTAAAAAATGTATTTAAGGTTTGTAGTTATCTTTGATTTGCATCAGTGAGGTTCAAACAGATGCTATCAGTAATGCAATCCTAAATTGGAAATGTAAGAGATGCAGTTAACCAGTTGTTAAGAAATGACCAGGCAAGCATACCATTTACTGAAGTGTTTGCCCTGGTTTTTCAAAGGGTGTATAACACCATCCACAGATTAAACCTCTATCTGCAGGAAAGCTATTTATAAGTTGATAGCATAATCCACCCTCCAAACAACTGGGCCTTATGTGCAAAGGCCCCTCGTTAAATCTCTCTTCATAATATTGAAATATTTTATCTAGAAGTAAATTTGCTTAGTCTCAAATGCTTTAAACTCTTCTCACAGAGGATACTAAATAGCTGACAAAACATTAGTACTAATATTTTAACCCATTCACTCCCTAAGCTCCAGAATGGAGGAAATATCAAGAGTGACCCCCCAGGATATACTATTTCAAACACAAGTGGGAGGGTTTCATCAGGGTTTCCAAACACAAGAAAACTGATAATGCTTTCATTGTTTTTGAGTGTTTGGAAACCATAATGAAACCCGATGCACAAGTTTTTGAAATAGCTTCTCAATTGTACCTTAGGAATAAAAGAAAATAGAAGTATTCACAAATTTTTCACATGTTGTTGGTATTGAATGATATTCAAATCAAGAAATGAGTTCAGAGTTTGATGCTACATCAAACTCAAGGGTTTGACATTATATGAAACTCATGGATAGCGCGTCATTCCAATGTTTCACTGGGGTTTCAAACCACAAGCAGGTGATGAAATTGGCATATCGTGGTTGGATAATCATCTTATGAATAATTAATGAGTTTGAGAACTCACTAAAGTTATGTTTGCACCATTTGTGCACTCTCACTAACTGTGGATAATGTGGAAACTGTTTAATTTGGACGAGAGAAACCAGTTAATTTGCTAGGAACTCTTGTAATATGGGTGTCTGTAAAACAAAACAAATAAAAAAATTAAAAAAAAACATTATGAGCCATGGACTAGCATGTGACTTTAACACAACAAGGATGACTACAGAGGGAATGCTCCAGACTGAAATATATTTTTTAAATCTAAGAGAAGCTTCTTTTGCCTCTGGTTTTAATTCAGTCCAAAGGCTTTACTCAAAATTTTTTATTAAAGTGAAAAGTTTACACCTCTTACTAACCTTGTTTTCTTGGTCTGTACTGGTACTGTATGTTACAAACCTAGTTTTTTCTGGTTGGATTTATTGCCCAATTAAATGCAAAATGTGTGAACCATAAATCTGAGTGGAAAAAAACAAGGTTCTGTAACTTTTACAGTGCAGACCAAGAAAATGAGGGTAGTAAGATATTAACGATATCTCTAGGTTTAGCTAGAGGGTTATGAATTCATTGCAAACTATTAGAGAGTACATACTAGCTGAGAGATGTCATAAACCACATTATCTCTAATATCTGAAATTATTTCATCATAAAAAATTATGTTGACTTAATTTAGTTCAAAGTAAACCCCAGAGTTTGGTCCACTTTCTCCAAGAGTTTGCCACTGTTTCCTCATAACTCTTGATGTACTGCAAAAGCAAGGCTTTTTTTCCCAAGAATTGAGAACATCTTCTCATTCATGATTCATTTGGATATATACAACTAAAAAGTTTAACTTGGAGTTAGAACTCAGAGAAACAGATTTCACTTACTTGTTTTTGACTTGCGTCTAGAAACTCTAAATACTAAAATAGCAATTATTCCACCAACGAAGATCCCAACTATGAATACAATAGAACATATTCCGACAAACAGTCCTATGTTCAACTGCAATTTATCACCAGAATTATCTATGAAAAAGACAACACAGAGGTTAAATTGACTGGCTATTTGTACCAAGATGTGTTATTTGAAAAGGGGCCGGACTGTCTTGAATACACTGAGCATTTTAACCCTGAACATCCTATCACCAATAAACATGTTCTCCACACTGTTTCCTTTACATTTCCCAGGTATACTGGAAAAAGAGTTAGTTGCTAACTTTTTTTAGAGGTTATAGAGTTAAGGTAGAGGGTCCCTCTGATTGTTACATGGGGGAAATTTCAGATAAATCCAAAAATAGCTGCCCCAAAAATTTGACAACATGCTGTGCAAATTTCATTTTGGACCAAAATTCACCAAAAATCCAGAACTTTTAAACAATACTGTACATACAAGTCCATGCAATGGCAGAGATGTA